CCTATTCAGCAGATTGTCTTTTCACTTTCTTGATGGTATAATATGCCCCATAAAAGTTTTTAATTTTGATGTAGTACAATTTATCTATGTTTCTTTTGTTACTTATACTTTGGGTGTCATATCTAAAAACCATTGCCTAACTCAAGGTCACGGAGATATAAATTTTTTTTTTTTGAAACAGAGTTTCGCTCTTGTTGCCCAGGCTGGAGTGCAGTGGCACTATCTTTGCTCACCGCAACCTCTGCCCCCTGGGTTCAAGCGATTCTCCTGCCTCAGCCTCCTGAGTAGCTAGGATTACAGGCATGCGCCACCATGCCCAGCTAATTCTTTTGTATTTCTAGTAGAGATGGAGTTTCTCCATGTTGGTCAGTCTGGTCTTCAACTCCTGACCTTAGGTGATCCGCCTGCCTCAGCCTCCCAAGGAGATATAATCTTATGTTTTTTCCTAAGAGTTTTGTAGTTTAGCCCTTACATTTAGGTTTTTGTTTTTATTTTACTTATTTATTTTGAGTCGGAGTCTTGCTCTGTCGCCCAGGCTGGAGTAGAATGGCGCGATCTCGGCTCACTGCAACCTCCGCCTCCCAAGTTCAGGTGATTCTCCTGCCTCAGCCTCCTGAGTAGCTGGGATTACAGGCATGTGCTACCACACCTGGCTAGTTTTTGTATTTTTAGTAGAGGCGGGGTGTCACCTTGTTGGCCAAGCTGGTCTCGATCTCCTAACCTCAGGTGATCCGCCCGCCTCTGCCTCCCAAAGTGCTGGGATTATAGGCGTGAGCCACCATGTCCATCCCATTTAGGTTTATAATCTATTTTGAGTATGGTGTGAGGTAAGGATTCAACTTTGCATATGAGGGCCAAGAGTGGTGGCTCACATCTGTAATCCCAGCACTTTGGGAGACCGAGGCAGGTGGATCATTTGAGGTCAGGAGTTTAAGACCTGCCTGACCAACATGGCAAAACCCCATCTACTACTAGTCCCAGCTACTTGGGAGGCTGAGGTATGAGAATCGCTTGAACCCAGGAGGCGGAGGTTGCATTGGACTGAGATTGCACCACTGCGCTCCAACCTGGGTGACCAAGTGAGAGACTCTCTCAAAAGAAAAAAAACAAAAACAAAAAACTTTGCATGTGACTGTGCAGTTGTCTTAGTACCATTTGTTGAAACACTGTTCTTTCTCCATTGAATTGTTTTGGTATTCCTGTAGAAAATCAACCATAAGTATAAGGGTTTATTTCTGGATTTTTGGTTATATTCTGTTGATCTAAATGTCTTTCCTAGTGCACCAACACTGTTTTGATTATAGTAGCTTTGCATTAAATTTTGACACTGGGAAGTTTAAGTCTTACTTACAACTGTGTTCTTGGCTATTCTGGGTTTCCATATGAATTTTAGGATCAGTTTGTCACTTTCTATAAAAAAAACCAACTGAGATTTTGAAAGAGATTGTATAAATCTGTAAATTAATTTGCTGAGAGTCCCTTAGGTTTTGTATTCATAATACTAACTTAGGTCCTTCCTAGTTTATCCTTTCTTACAAAATTAATTTCTTTACTTCTACTTTTCTATAACTAAACTTCATATATATGCATTAAAAGATAACTTATTACAGTGTATTAGTGTTCAACTAACTTAGAAGAAAATATGAAGTAATTACTTTTTGTATTTTAAAAAACAATATTGTACAAGCTAAATCGCTCTATAGCAAAAATCTCTACATACAGAAAAATTATGTAAAGAGATTGGAAAAAAAAACAAAAAACAGAATCCAATTTCCTTTTTTTGAGATGGAGTCTTACTCTGTCACCCAGGCTGGAGTGTCGTGGCGTGATCTTGGCTCACTGCACCCTCTGCCTCCTGGGTTCAAGTGATTCTCCTGCCTCAGTCTCCTGAGTAGCTGGGACTACAGGCGTGCACCACCACACCAGGCTAATTTTTGTATTTTTAGTAGAGACGGGGTTTTGCCATGTTGGCCAGGCTGGTCTTGAACTCCTGACCTAAGGTGATCCACCTTGACCTCCCAAAGTGCCAAAGAGAAGTGCCAGAAGAGGTGCCAAGCTATGTCAGAACTCTATGAAATCGAGCAAAATTCTGTATGACAGAAAAATTTTTCTAGGTCGTTGGGAGTTTTGTTTTGCCTTACTGATTTTTCTGCCGAGATTCATTTTGTATTTGTAAGCATTAGCAAAAATTTATGTATGGGGGAAATTAGATACAAATAATGCCTCTTAAGGAATGTGTATAAGGATTATAAAAAATAAGCATCTTAGATTTTTATAGTGCTTTAGATTCCATCAGTCCCTCAAGTAAGACATGGGCAGCTATTTGATAGCTTGTGTAGTTTTTTTTTTAAATTAGCAAGTAAAAATTGTGTTGTTTATGGTGTATAACTTTTTTTACATGTACACATTGTGGAATAGCTAAATTAAATTTGACATAAATATTACCTCACATACTGATCATTTTTTGTGGCAAGAAGCTTGAGTAGTTTTGTTTAGTCAGTGAATACCATAATCCAGTTGCTCTCAACCTTGGCTGCTATGCATCAAAATCCCTAGAGAGCTTTAAAAAATTCAGCTGCCCATGCAGCATACAAGATTAACTAAACCAGCATCTCTGGAGTGGGGCTTGGACATGAGAATTTTGTAAAGCTCTCACAGTGAAGCCACTGTGCATATAACATTTAGAACTACTGCCATACACAGTTGAAAACTGGTAGATTGAGCTAAGGAAAATGTACTTATCCTGAACTGGCAATTAAAATTATGCCCCCCTGAAATGTATGTCACTTTAGTTGTAATCTCAACCACTATGAAAAGTATGGAATTATCAGGACATAATGATTTGGATTTCTCTTTACCTGTGAACCAATAATAAAAGATTATCCAGTCACCAGAATTCCAAAATTTGGTACTAAGATCAGTTATATATACCACCATATAGGTGGGCATTTGTTTGGGGGGGAAAAGTCTGTTGCTAAAAAAATCAAGTTTGTAAGCCACCAGTTAATTGGAAAAAGCACTGAAGCCCTGGCCTTAAGAGTTTGACAACCTGTGTTCTAGTATTAGCTCTGCTGTGTGACTTTGAGCCCATGTATTTAAATTATACTTTATAAAATGGGGCCATTGGACTGAAGGTGATCACCAAATTGTTTATTCAGCAAATTGGATTGCCTATTGTGTTCTAGGCAAGGATGCAGGGATGAACAGAACATACAGCATCCCCTTGAAAAGCATGCAAAAGACAAACACATTGCACAATGTCTAAGTGTAGCTATGGTGAAATGTTCAGGGAATTGAGGGAATATAAAAGTACTTTAGTTGGTTTCAGTTTGGGACAGACACTATAGTTGCCCATTTAACAACCATTCACAGATGCTTGCTTTCCTAGCCACCCTTGCAGCTGGGGCATAGACCAAAGGAAAAATCTGCAGTGCAGGATTTCTTGTAAAAGTTGGCAGTTGAGGGTGGTCCAAGTGCAGTGGTGGTTACAGCTAATTGATCACAACCAGTTACAGATTTATTTGTTCCATTTCTACTCCCGCTGCTTCACTTGACTAGCCTTAAAAAAAGTTGGCAATTGAAAAAGAACTCCTTCCTGTTCTGGCTTTATTGTGTGGGGACATAATACTTGGTGCTACAAAGGTCATCTTGAGACTGTGAAGGCCTAAGAACAAAGGCCTCCACACTGAGAATAGCCAAAGAGAAAAACAAAGGAACCTGGATCCTTGATGTCAACAGTGAGCTACTAAACCAACCCTAGAACCACCTTCCTGTGGGCTTATTAAGTGAGATAATAAAACTTCATGTTGTTTGAACCCTTATTGCTTTAAGAGTGGTCTGTGGATCAGCATCATCTGGAAGTCTGGTTAGAAATGCAGAATCTCAGGCCCTACTCAGACCTGCTGCATCAGCATCTGTACTTTAGTAAGATCCCTGGTGACTAACATGAACATCAGAGCTTTTGAAGCATCAGTTTAAACCAACTTTAATTGGGTATTCTGTTCTATGCAAGCTTAGTAACCCAAGTTGTATGAGTACATCTTGTTTGGTCAGCTAGTGCTGCAGTTATAATTATTAGCATTTTTCCATTCCCTTCGTATTTTCAATCTTGCATAGAACATATGGTCATAAACATGATTTTCATATGATAAAGTCTTTAGGTTTCTAGAGTAACTAGTTTCTTGTTCGTGTACATTGAGGCTTGGAGGAATAATGACTAAAAATTTCAGAGTGCCACTCAAGACGTAGAAATTTACTTGCAATCAGAATTTGAATTTCTAGAATCATAATTGTCTCTGCCATCCCCCATGTGACAGTAACCGTTTGTTGCTTAATAATAAGAAATTGGGGCCGGGCGCGGTGGCTCACACCTGTAATCCTAGCACTTTGGGAGGCCAAGGCGGGTGGATCACCTCAGGTCAGGAGTTCAAGACCAGCCTGGCCAACATGGCAGAACCCCGTCTCTACTAAAAATACAAAAATTAGCCGGGTGTGGTGGTGCACGCCTGTAGTCCCAGCTACTCAGGAGGCTGAGGCAGGAGAATGACTTGAACCCAGGAGGCAGAGGTTGCAGTGAGCCAAGATCACGCCACAACACTCCATCCTGGGTGACAGAGTGAGACTCCATCTCAAAAAAAAAGAAATTGGAATCTGGTTTTTTTGGGGTTTTTTTTTTTCAATCTCTTTAAAATTTTATAGGTTTTTTTGTTTATTCCTTCATTTATTGATTGATTATTTGTAAAGCAACTCGCAATTACTCTAAAAAGAGCCCATTTTTATTTCCACAGATGAAAAGTTTCTCAGTTGACCTTTTCTTTCCAACTTTTACAGCCAAAATATTACACTGGAAACTTAAAAATCTATGTCAGAGATAAAACAAAATTACTGTTAATGTTAATCTTTTCCTTCAGGTTCAATTATACATACTTTGGTTACAAGGATAAAATGGTAATGAGTTAATAGCAGTAATAGTGGAATTAACAAAGTGCTTTATTTTACAGGGAAAATATTTATCCCCAAACAAAAACCTGTACAGACTTTTACAGAAGAAAAAGTGTCTCTTGATCCAGAATTAGAAGAAGCTTTGACAAGTGCTTCTGATACAGAATTGTGTGACCTCGCAGGTATCACCTAAAACAATTTAATTTGTGAATAAACGTGGGGTGGAGTGGGAAATACCAGCACATACCTATATACATGATACAGATGTTTTCTTTACCTAGCAAGTACTGTTGAATCAGTAACCACATATTTGGCTTTATATTTTACACGATAAAGCTGACATAAAGAGTTTCATTTCTCTAAATACTCTCAATAGTGAAATGTTTATGTTAAGAGAATGTATTGTATTGTTGACACCTTTTCCCATGTTGTCATATTTGAAAGTCTTTCTAAAAATCTTTCATCAGCTGGTGCTCAGCTAGAAGCTGTCCCATCTGAACACCGAAAAAGAGTCTTCAGGGTCAACTGCTGACCTACTTTATCAGAAGACTGAGAGATGAGTAACTAGAAAGTAGATTGAAGCAGTCAGTTCTGAGCTATACTCACCACCTTCCCAACTTTTCTGAAGTGTATATGAAACACTCCAAACCTCTCTATTATTTTCATTATTGCCAATTTCTTATCTAGACCAGTATCTTCCCCTCCGTACCTATGTACGACCTACTTTCCTAGATAGAAAAGTGTGATGCATGGGGAGTTCTTCATACCAAATAACCCCAAGAACTATTAAGTTTGAATGTAGCACTGATGGTCCTTTGGGAAGGACCTTGGAAAGGGACAGGTCAAGGTGTGATGCCACAGCCAGAGCAGGAGTCTTTGCGTTGAGGGACTGAGGACTGACAGATCTGTAAATAGTACATTAATCAGAGTGGAATGAGCCAAGGACATCCTCTGACTTCTGCTTTATTTGTACACAAGGGCATCAAAAACTAAAACCAAATTTATTTTTCCTCCTGTCATATTTGAAGGGTGCTCATATTCTTACATACAAGAACCTAATACTTTAGTATTTTACTCTTAACTGGAGTCCAAATGCAAATTAATGACATGAGATTAACATACATTAAAATACGAAGGTTAAGTTGAAAATCTGCTTTTTGTCACATGATATTCCTAGAAACCTTGTGAAATTAACGGCAAAAATAGATCCTTTCCATTTTCTCTCTTAGCCACCAGATGGAGCTAAGCATAGATTTATGTTCAGGATTAGGCTGCCTCCAACTCTGATTTTGGAAATGCGGGGAAATGTAAATTTAGAAATGTGGGGAAAAATAATAAGAGTATTGATGAGAATGACATTGTAGGTGATTTTTAATCATTTTGTTGTTCTGTGTGTGTGTGATCTGTAATTTATAGGAAAAGGTCCAGAGAATATTAAAATTATTGATAAAAATTTTTAATTGTAAAACTCTTCATGTTTAAAACAATAAAAACTTTCTTTTTCTATATAGCAATTCTTGGGATGCACAATTTGATAACGAATACACAGTTCTGTAATATGATGGGAAGTAGTAATGGTGTTGACCAAGAACATTTTTCAGGTGAGTACTTAAAATGCTTTGTGAATTCTAATCGTTTATTAAATATATTTTGTTTTTGCCTTGTGTCAGCTTAAGTATTCACATACTAGATGTTTTATATATGTACTTGAAACCTGATATTTCAATTTGGTGGTATTAACCAAGAAAGACATTGAAAATAGAGTATTAAATATTTTGTGCTTAATGGGTCAGCAAATGTAGTAAGAACCACTCTACCTCACTAAATAATAACTAAACAGTATAAAAGCTAGTCAAACTTGGTTTTGTTGACATTTTATTATCACTACTACTAATTTTCAAGAAATAGATAATAATACTTACAAAGAAATTACATTATAAAATCAGATTCAGGCGATACCACAAAACTATTCAACCCCTAAACCTTTCAGTCTGCTGTGAAGTATTATATAGCCTAAAGCAAAGCTTTTCAGAAATTCACTTATAGGGGCCAGGTGTGGTGGATCATGCCTGTAATTTCATTTTCTGAGGCTGAGGCAGGAGGATCGCTTGAGTCCAAGACTTCAAGACCAGCTTTGGAAATGTAGACCTCCATCTCTACAAAATTTTAAAAATTAGCTGGGCATGGTGGCACATGTCTCTAGTCTCAGCTACTTGGGAGACTGAGGGGAGGATGGCTTGAGCCCAGGAGATTGAGCCTTCAGTGAGCCGTGATCACACTACTGCACTCAAGCCTGGGCAATAGAGCAAGACCCTATCTCAAAAAACAGATAAAAAATTCATGTATAGGGTGTTCTTAAATTAGCAAGGTGATACATGCCTTTGTAGCACATTTAAACAATACATAAGTATTTATGGGAAGAAGTAAAAGTGTCTCTGTCTGCAGCTGTCATGCCCTCTGCTTACCCAAACAGCATCCTGTTAAAACACTTTTGTATCTACCCTACCAGACTTTTCACTGTTTGTACTAATGTATACATGTTATACATAGTCTCTTGTTTTTTACAAAAAAAGATTATACTGTAAGTATTTATTGCAACTTAATTTTTTTGGAAACAGTCTCCCTCTGTCACCCAGGCTGCAGTACAGTGGCACTATCGTGGCTCACTGCACCCTCTGCCTCTCAGGTTCAAGCACTTCTCCTGCCTCAGCCACCTGAGAATCTGAGATTACAGGTGCACGCCACCATGTCTGGCTAATATATTTTTTTTTTTTTTTTGTATTTTTAGTAGAGACGGGGTTTTGCCATGTTGGCCAGGCTGGTCTCAAACTCTTGACCTCTGGCGATCTGCCCACCTCAGCCTCCCAAAGTGCTGGGATTACAGGCATGAGCCACTGTGCCTGGCCAACTAAATGTTTTTGAATGCTTACTGTGGGCCATGTTGCATGCACAGCTCTTGGATGTGGAGTACTCTCAGCCCTCAAAACAGTTCTTTGAAATAGATATTATTATCTTTAATTTGCATGTGAGAAAGCTGAGATTTTAAAATAATTAAGTAACCTCAATATTTTACACAAAGTCAGTGGTAAGGATTTTAACCCGTGTTATATAGTGTATCACTTAGCAGTGGACCATGTTTTCTAGTCAATATGTATACATCTACCTCATTCAGACATGTGTATAACATTCCTTTTTACGATGTTTTGCAATTTGACCATCCCGCTTCTCATTTTTCAGTTTTTATTGTAGAAGTGTTCAAACATACATAAAAGAAGAGAGAATAATATATTATTACCCAGCTTCAGCTGTTTTTTAACATTTGCCAGCCTTGTTTTATTCATCTTCTGTCTCCCTCCCTAGCCCTTCTACTTTTTTTCCTGAAGTATTTTAAAGCAAACCCTGTTCATTTGTATTACATCACCTATAAATATTTCCATATGTGTGTCTCACAAATAAAGGCTTTTCTTTTAATGTAATCATGATGCCATCATCAAAGTTTAAAATTTACAGTATTTTCTTCGTATCATGTAATACCCAGTCTGTGTCCAGATTTCCTCTATTCTGTCCAAAATGTCATTTCATTATTGACTCAAAAAAGCTTACACACTGCATTTGGTTGTTTGTCTTTTTAGTCTCCCTTAATTTCTTAACAGTTCTCCTCCCCAACCTCTTTCCTTTTTTTTTTTTTTTTCTTTTTTCTTTTTTTTCATGCCATTTATTTTTTAAGAAACTGGGTTATTTTTCATAGAATTTTCCACATTCTGGATTTGGCTGATTTCAACCTTATGGTATCATTTTATGTTTTTCTATCACCTGTGTTTCCATAAATTTTTAGTTCTAGCGGCTTGATGAGGTGCAGGTGCAGGTCCCTTTTGGCAAGAATGCTTCATGGGTGGTGATTGAATCATATTAAGAACTTAGCTTATCAAATCTAATCCTTCCTCTTTGGGGGAATGAGATTGATCACAGGGTTCAAATGTAGGCAGCCTGATCCATCCTTTTTAAGTTTCCCATGAACCTTTTGCTTAATAATTCCTGCATCCCATTGACTGGATTCATTATTTCATTAAGGTGCAAGACTCTCGAGATTTCTTTCCCCATTCCACACATCCTGTGGTTTTATAAAATTAGAACTACTCAATTTTCCATTCATTGAGGAAGTTCTTCCCTAGCTGTCTTGAAGACTACCTTGCTGAACTCAAGTGAGAGGGAGCCCACTCTCTGTTGTTGAGCAGAGCTCCATTAGGAAGCTTTTCCTTGTCTTGAACCAAGTTCTGCTTCTTGGCAATCTATACTTGTTCTAACCCAGCCTTAGACAAATCTAGAACAGCACTAAATTTGTCTCTTCTCAGCTTCTACAGGATAAATCTGAAAACAGCTAGCATAACTTCTTTTAATATGTACTTCTCCAGACTAAATATATTCAGATTTTTCACCCTACCTCAGGAAAGTAATTTTCAAACCTTTATCTAAATTGATCTCTTCAAGATGCTCTGTGTGTGTGTGTGATATTTGAAAGTAACAAGATACCCTTAATGGAATTTATTGGATAATCAGTGCACCCTGTCTCAAGATGAGTTTTGCTTCTAAAATCTAGAGGAAGGCAGGAAGGAAAAAAGCCAGATAGTAGTCCATTTTGAACCCGGTCAGTCTTTCCATGTCAATTGCTCTTACTCTTTTGTGGTCATTCACTAGTTTGTGAGCCTTTTGTGGTCTTTGACTTGAATGACCACAAAAAAGTAATGCTTTCCCCAGAAAATATATCCATAAAAGTTTACCCGTTATAGTTGTTCATGGACCCCCACACACAGGCAGCAGAGCACAGTGATCTCTTGAAAGGACTCAAGGATTTCAGGGCCTCTGTTGTTCACATCTGAAGCATCATATTCCTATCGTGTGGGTAGCTGAGGTAAAGATTAGGGAGTGAGAGTGAGGGAGGGCAGTAAATTTTGGAGACTCTGTCTCAGTAGCTCTTCCGTGTACCTTTACCTCCTCTCCCTCTCTGCTCCTTATTCCCACCCTCCTTCCTATTCCTTCTTTCTCACAGAAAGTTCTCCCTACTTTCCCACTGCAGAGTACTCCCCATGGGAGGAAGAGGTAGTGTGCCCTCCCATCACCTTATTCTTCTCATTTAGGCTATATTTCTTTAAGTCTGTGATTCTTACTGCCTTTATGCCAATTATCAGTTAAATCTCAGAGAAATGATGAGATGCTAGATTTTATCATACTAGTACTTTATCTTAAATATTGCTAAAAACAAATGGCATCATCAACTTGTGCTATCAAATATATTTGAGTGGTAAAAATATCTTGTAATATACTAAGACAATGAAAATATTCATTTTTGAAGACTGATACATGGCAAATAAATTAAATATTGAACATGTTTGGTATTTATATTCAGTAAAATTTTATTTGGATGCCTTAAATGTGTGTCAAGGCCAGGCGCAGTGGCTCACGCCTGTAATCCCAGCACTTTGGGAGGCCAAGGCAGGCAGATCACTTGAGGCCAGAAGTTCGAGACCACCCTGGCCAACATGATGAAACCCATCTCTACTAAAAATACAAAAATTAGCCAGGCATGGTGGCACACACCTGTAGTCCCAGGTACTCGGGAGGCTGAGGCAGGAGAGTCAGTTGAACGTGGCAGGAGGAGGTTGCAGTGAGCCAAGATCACGCCACTGCACTCTAGCCTGGGCAATAGAGTGAGACTCCATCTCAAAAAAAAAAAAAAAAAAAAAAAAAAACCATTTAAAAAAAATAAATAAATATGTGCCAACACATAAAGGATCTTTTCAGAACTGTGGGGCTGAAACTTTTAAATCTGTCCCCTTGAATAAATATGTGTGTATGAGAGAGAGAGAAAGAGATGTTACCAAGTGAATATCTGCATCCACTGTAATAGTATCAACTCCAGGCCCGGCGCGGTGGCCCACGCCTGTAATCCCAGCACTTTGGGAGGCTGAGGCGGGCGGATCACGAGGTCAGGAGATTGAGACCATGCTGGCCAACATGGTGAAACCCACTAAAAATACAAAAAATTATCCGGGGCCGGGCGCGGTGTCTCACGCGTGTAATCCCAGCACTTTGGGAGGCCAAGGTGGGCGGATCACGAGGTCAGGAAATCGAGACCATCCTGGCTAACAATGTGAAACCCCATCTGTACTAAAAATACAAAAAATTAGCGGGGCGTGGTGGCAGGCGCCTGTAGTCCCAGCTACCAGGCAGGCTGAGGCAGGAGAATGGCGTGAACCCGGAAGGCGGAGCTTGTGTGAGCCGAGATCGCGCCACTGCACTCCAGCCTGGGCGACAGAGCGAGACTCCGTCTCAAAAAAAAAAAAAAATTATCTGGGCGTGGTGGCGGGCGCCTGTAGTCCCAGCTACTCAGGAGGCTGAGACAGGAGAATGGCGTGAACCCGGGAGGCGGAGCTTGCAGTGAGCCGAGATAGTGCCACTGCACTCCAGCCTGGGTGAAAGTGCGAGACTCCATCTCAAAAAAAAAAAAGTATCAACCGCTGCTCTTTTCATTTATCACTGCAGATGTGGTCAAAGGTGAAAAGATTCTTCCAGTATTTGATGAGCCACCAAATCCAACCAACGTAGAAGAGAGTTTGAAGAGAATTAAAGAAAATGATGCTTATCTTGTTGAAGTTAATTTGAATAATATAAAGGTAAGTGTGCTAGTCAGAGTGGTTTTGTATTGCTTTGAGTCGGCTGAACCTAGGATGAGAGCTGGGCAGTTGATAAAATAGTCTAATTCTTTCTACTTTAAGGTAAAGTTTTTGCTCTTACCAGTATGCTAACATAGGTTTCTTCATATTTTAGATACTGAAGTGTTATGGTATTGTATTTTCTCACTTGCTTTTTGAGAAATTTATCATCTAAAAATGTAAACCCTACAAACTGTCAGAATAAATCTCTCGGGTTTTCTAAATACTGCCCGCTTCTAAGAACATTTAGCCTCTTGGGTCTTGCTTTTGTAAAATTTGGTTCCTTAGCTAGGTATGGTGGTGCATGCTTATAATCCCAGCTATCTGGGAGACTGAGGCTGGAGGATGGCCTGAACCCAAAAGTTTGAGACCAGCCTGGGCAACATAGTGAGACCTGCCACCGCCCCATCTGAAAAAATAAAACCTGGTTTTTTTTTTGAGGTAAAATTTAAATATGGTAAAAATCTCCCTTTTAATGTACAGGTCTATGAATTTTGACAGGTGCATACAATTTTGTACAACCACCATTACACTCAAGATGTAGAATATATCTGTCACTGCAGAAGTTTGTAGTCATTCTCTTTGTAGTCATTCTCTGCCCCCCAGCTCTAGCCCCTGACAACCACTGACCTATTTTCTTTCCCTATCATTTTGCCTTCTCCAGAATATCATATAAATGGAATCCTATAGTATGTAGCCTTTGGGGTCTGACTTCTTAGCATAATGCATTTGAGATTCATTCCTGGTGAGTGTGTCAGATACGCTGCAGTTTGTTTATTTGTTCATCAGTTGGTAGACATATGGGTTCCTTCCAGTTTGGGATGGTTATTAATACAGCCACTATATACTTTCACACACAGGTTTTTGTGTGAACATGCTTTAAATTCTCTTGAGTAATCACCTAGGAATAGGCTTTCTGGGATCTTACTTTGAGTTTTAAACAATGCAACTGTTCCCTGGAGTAAGGAAAGAAGAAATTAGGAGGGCATAGGGGTAATTAATCACCGAAGAGTAAACTCAGATTATCTAGATATTAGCCATTGTGTAAAAGCTTCATTATAAATTCCTTATTTTAAAAGTTGATTTTTTTGAACTGGGGGACAAGGGGAGGAGAGCATCTGGAAATCACGAGCCTAGGGAAGAAAGCCTCTGTGCTCCTCTAGGGAGTAATCCTTCCTGTGAGTGGAGGAAGGAAACCCTCAGAGAAAGCTTAAAGCTTATATTCATAGTTGATTACTCACTTTTTTTTTTGTTTGTTTGTTTGTTTGTTTTTTGAGACGGAGTCTCCCTCTGCCGCCCAGGCTGCAGTGCAGTGGCCGAATCTCAGCTCACGGCAAGCTCCGCCTACCGGGTTTACGCCATTCTCCTGCCTCAGCCTCCCGAGTAACTGGGACTACAGGCGCCCGCCACGTCGCCCCGCTAGTTTTTTTGTAGTTTTTAGTGGAGACGGGGTTTCACCGTGTTAGCCAGGATGGTCTTGATCTCCTGACCTCGTGATCCGCCCATCTCGGCCTCCCAAAGTGCTGGGATTACAGGCTTGAGCCACCGCGCCCGGCCTGTTTGTTTGTTTTTTTGTTTTTTTGAGACAGAGTCTCGCTCTGTTGCCCAGGCTGCGATCTTGACTCACTGCACCCTCTGCCCCGCCCCACGTTCAAGCGATTCTTGTGTCTCAGCCTCCTGAATACCTGGGATTACAGGCACCCACCATCACACCTGGCTAATTTTTGTATTTTTAGTAGAGATGGGGTTTCACCATGTTGGCCAGGCTGGTTTTGAACTCCTGACCTCAAGTGATTTGCCCACCCTGGCCTCCCTATGTGCTGGGATTACAGGTGTGAGCCACTGCACCCGGCCTATTTTAATTTTTTTAATTTGGTCCCTGTGTATTCCTTTCTCTAAATAAACAGTAATGATCTGAAAATAACCAGGCTAAGGGGAATTGAAGTCTCACATACTACGGAGAAAAACCAGCATCTTCAATACTTTATTTTCTCTCCTTCAAGTAGTGTAGGTTTAATCTCTCTTAGTACTTTGTAGCTTAAACTAAGTGACTGAGAACAGTCTGTCTGCCTCAGGAATCATACTCCATCAGAGATGGGCTCCTTCATCTCTCTCCTTGTAGAAAAGTAAATCCACTTTTATTTTCATATAAAAAGAATAATGAAGGCCGGGAGCGGTGACTCATGCCTGTGATCCCAGCACATTGGGAGGCCAAGGAGTGTGGATCACCCAAGGTCAGGAGTTCGGGACCAGCCTGACTAGCATAATGAAACCCCATCTCTACTAAAAATACAAAATTAGCCAGAGCTGGTGGCGCATGCCTGTAATCTCAGCTACTTGGGAGGCTGAGGCAGGAGAATTGCCTAAACCCCGGAGATGGAGGTTGCAGTGAGCTGAGATTGTGCCATTGCACTCCAGCCTGGGCAACAAGAGTGAAACTCCGTCTCAAAATAAATAAATAAATACATACATACATACAAAGAATAATGAAAGGTGAGAATAGTGAGAATTTTTTTAAATCTAAGTGCTAGAGAAATGGTGTTATGTGCACTGCTCTGAGTCAGTAGTTTATGCAAATGCTCCATCATAAATAAGTCAGATAAATGTGGAGAAAACTGCATTATTTGTTTTCATTTGTAGACTAATTCTTTTGAGTTTGTATAACTTCTGAATACATTTTAAAGCAAAAAAAAAATATTTGATTAATGGAAACTAAATATAATGAAAATTGAAATGTAATGATGTTTTATATTATTGTCTTTCAAGAATATCCCAATTCCAACCCTAAAAGATTTTGCAAAGGCTTTGGAAACCAACACACATGTGAAATATTTCAGTCTTGCAGCCACCCGGAGCAATGACCCTGTTGCTACTGTAAGTAAGCTACTTGAGAATATCAAAATTATGACATACCCAGGGTGTGTTACAGTGGTGATTTTTATGAACGAGATTTACCCCTTTATTTTATAGTTAATCTTTTAGCTCACTATTAGGCAGTATATTACTTACCACCTTTTTGTGTTTATTTTTTCCTGTATTTCCTTCCTATGAATTTTTCCCCCTCCCAGCTTCCCCCTCCTTCATATGAATTTTTTAAAACATAAATGGAATCATGTAGTGTATGCTGTTCTGCAACTTGATTTTTTACTCTACGTTTTATCTTTAAAGTTTTGTTGTATCAATACATAGGGATCTACCACATTATTTTAACATCTTCAGAGGATTCCATTTATGGATCTTTAGTGGTGGATTTTTGTTAAATGCTTTTGCTGTGTCTCTTGAGATGATCATATGGTTTTTGTCCTTTATTCTGTCAATATGGTATATTGATTGACTTTTATATGTTGAACCAACCTTTCATTCCTGAGGTAAATCCCACTTGATCATGGTATAAACCTTTTGTTTCACTTGGCTTTGAGAGTATCACTCACTCCACTGGGGGCTCCCCTTACCTCAGTGGACAGTCCTTCTCAAAGCCCTGTACTGGTTTCTCCACATCTCTTCAACTTCTAAATATTGGAATGGCCCAGAACTTGGTCCTTCTTTTCTCAGTCTATATTGACTTCCTGGGTAATCTCAGAAATATATATATTATCTCCATATACTTGCTGATGCCTCCCGGTGTTGTTATCTACAGTTTGTATCTCTCCTGAATTCTGTATTCGTGTTCAGCTACCTCCTCAGCAGCTTTACTTGGATGTCTAATTTACATCTTACATGTAAGTCCTTAACCAAACTCCTGACTTACATGTAAGTCCTTAACCAAACTCCTGACTTCCATCCTGTGCCTGCTTTTCTCTGCTCTTTTCTGTCTTACTAAATGCAATTTCAATCTTTAATTGCTCAGGCAAAAAAAAAATTATAATGGAATAATTCTTGACATCCCTTTCTTGCAACCTTAAACATACCTTTAGCCCTATCTTCAAAATATTTCAGAATCCAACCACTTCTCACCATTTTCACAACTACCACCTTGACCCAAGCCACCATCTTTTCCCACCTGGATTATTGCAACAGCCTCCTAATTGAGTTACCTTCATCTATTTTACCTACCCCAAAATCAATTCTTTACATAGCACTAAGAGTGATTCTTTTAAACTTAAGTTAAATTATCTCATTCCTGGCCGGGCGCGGTGGCTCAAGCCTGTAATCCCAGCACTTTGGGAGGCCGAGGCGGGTGGATCACGAGGTCAGGAGATCGAGACCATCCTGGCTAACATGGAGAAACCCCGTCTCTACTAAAAATACAAAAAAAAAAACTAGCCGGGCGTGGTCGCGGGCGCCTGTAGTCCCAGCTACTCAGAGGCTGAGGCAGGAGAATGGCATGAACCTGGGAGGCGGAGCTTGCAGTGAGCCGAGATCGCGCCACTGCACTCCAGCCTGGGTGACACAGCGCGAGACTCCGTCTCAAAAAAAAAAAAAAAAAAAATTATCTCATTCCTATTCGGAGAACCCTCTAGCAGCTTCCCATCTCATTAAGAGTAAAAATCAAAATCTTTCAGTGGCCTTATAAGGCTTCACATAAGTCAATCTCATCTCCTTTATTTGCCCTTTCTTTCATTCTACTCTAGCCATACAGCCTTCTTCAACATGCCATGTGGACTCCCAAATCAGGGCCCGTACCTTTGTTCCTTCTGCCTTGAACTTTCTTCCTAAAATAATCCACATAACTTCACCTTATCACTTTGACTCTTTGCTCAAAAGTCACCTTCTAGGTGAGGCTTTTCCTGACCATGCTATATAAAATACCAACCCCACTTCCACCCCCAGTACTCCCCCTCTACCCTATTGTGCCTTTTTTCTTTTTACCCTCTAACATTTCACTTTGCTTACTTTTATTATCTGCGTCCCTCCCCAACTAGAAGGAACATTCTGCCAGGCAGGGACCAATATGTTTTATTTCTGAATATCTAGAACAGTGCTAATCAAATAATAGACCATCAGTAATATTTGAATAAATGTATGGATAAGGGATTTGTTCCAGGTCACATAGCTAGTTGTTGCTAATAGAAAGGACAAGTATGTAGGTATCAGCCACAGTTTTTTGTAGTATCTCTACCCCCTATTGCCTTTCCTTTAACTTTAAGCTTGGTCTTACCCATATTTTCTGTAGTTTAAGCTTGCTTTTAATCCCCCTACGGGGCTGTTTTATATAAACTCATGATCGTTCTTCTTTTTTCTTTCTCTTTCCTTCCCCTCCTTCCTTCCCTTCTCTCTTCCTACCTCTCTGTCTCTTTCTCTTTCCTTCCCAGTCTCCCTCCTCTTTCTTTTTTCACTTGTAGGCTTCTGTTAACTAATCAATATGGTATTTATTAAGCACTGAGTCAAATGTCTAATACTGTGCCGTATCCTATGAGAAGTGAAACAGAAGCAGATTGAAGACATACCATTACTTGAGGAATTTAATATTTCATTAGCCCCTTCTTCTCAACGGCCTTTGTGCTCTTCTGGTTCTGGTTATCTGTGTTCTTTTCTGGCCTTCTGCCTTGACCACTTTTTTGGCCCCTGCCTTGGAAATTAGTACATAATTTACCCTCATTTTGGCTTCACATGGTCCACCTACAGCAAGACCCAAATAAGAAAAGATGTTCCAGGGACATTGATGAAGTTGGTCTGACACAGAAACTGAAAGAGTGAGAGAGACAGAAGAAAGAAGCATGAAGTAGGGAATGAGGAGTAGAGAATGTCACCAACAGGGAATTACACGTGATCAAAAAATCTAAAGATTATGACAGGGTGCATATGAAAAATAGGTACAGGCCAGGTGCAGTAGCTCACAACTGTAATCCCAGCACTTTGGGAAGTCGAGGTGGGTGGATTGCTTGAACCCAGGAGTTTGAGACCAGCCTGGGCAACATGGTGAAACCCCATCTCTACAAAAAAATACAAAAATTAGCCGGGCATGATGGTGCACAACTGTAGTTTCAGCTACTCAGGAGGCAGAGGTGGGAGGATCAGTTGAGCCCAGGAGGCAGAGGTTGCAGTGAGCTATGATCATGCCACTGCACTCCAGCCTGGGTGACAGGGCAAGACCCTGTCTCAAAAAAAAAAAGAAAAAGAAAAAGAAAAGTAGATACAGTCATCCATGGGTTCAACCAACTTCAGATCAAAAATATTTGGGAAAAAAAATTCTATGGATTTCTAAAAGCAAAATCTGAATTTGCTGTATGCCAGGTACTGTGTTGAATCCACAAAAATGAAATGATGTGTAGGCATTGTATTAGGTATATTAAGTAACCTAGAGATAATGAAAACTATACAGGAGGATGTGTGCAGGTTGTATGCAAATACTATGCCATTTTATATAAGGCAGTTGAGCATCTGAAGATGTTGGTATCTGCAGGTGGTCCTGGAACGAATCCCCAATGAATACTGAGGGACAACTGTACCTGTGAGAGCTATGGGCTACTGTGTCAAACTGAAACAACTAATGACAAACATTAAGGCAGTTATGTTAATTAATATATTTGTTTATGACATGTACAATATGTAGTAGGTACTATATCAAATTTTCATCTCAATATTTTCTTTAATTTCCAGGCTTTTGCAGAAATGCTGAAAGTGAACAAAACTTTGAAGAGCTTAAATGTGGAGTCCAACTTCATCACAGGAGTTGGGATTCTGGCACTGATTGATGCGTTAAGAGATAATGAAACCCTGGCAGAGCTCAAGATTGACAATCAGGTCAATGTTCTACAATAATAACGTCGAGGAAGCTACAGCCCACACTGCTATGTAGGGCTTGGCGACTCAGGATGGGGATGGGAGGTGGGCTGTCAGGGATCCCTGTTGAAAGATGCTGGGCTGAATGGAGAGCGGACATTTGGGGTATCTAGAATATTAGTGTATATAACAGTGTATACAATATAAAGGTGTATACTCTCCCTAGATCATTTTAAGAGAATTTAGATGGCTATCTAGTTTGAACTGAGAGGACTTTTACCTGTGACCTAGTCCACCTTCCAATTTTTCAGCTCTGTGCTGGCAAGGTCCACATTGTAGGGTCTTTGTAAGTAAGAGGCAGAGAGATACATGTTAGCAATGTTTCCATCCAGATTAGCTATTAATTTTTTTATTTGAAAAAATAACTCCAGTTATTTGAAAAAATATTTGGTAAATGTCTCCTTCAGTCCTTCAAACAACTTTTGTAAACTATGAAGGTAGAAAAGAGGATTATGTCTTAAAATTTAACCCAGTGCTTCTTAATCCATGTTTTTAATTTTTTATTGAGATATAATTACATACAGTAAAATTCACTTTTTTAAAATATACAGTTAAATGGTTTTTAGTATATTTGTGGAGTTTTACAGCCATTACCACTAATTCCAGAACATTTTCATTACCCCACAAAGAAACCCCATACCCTTTAGCAGTCACTCCCCATTCACCCCTCTCACCAGGCTCTGGCAATCACTCATCCACTTTCTGTTTCTTAGGATTTGCCTATTCTGGACAGCTTGTATCTGGGGAATCAAACAATATGTGATCTTTTTGTGACTGGCTTCTTTCACCTAGCATAATGTTCTGGAGGTTCATCTGTATTGTAGCATACATCAGTACCTCATTCTTTTATGACTGAATAATATTCTATTCCATTTGGGGTGTGTCCACGTATGGGCCCCTAGAAATAATACTGCTATGAACATTCATTACAAACTCTTACATGGACATAGATTTTCATTTCTCTATATAGCTAGGAGTGTAATTGCTGGGTCACATGGTAATTCTATGTTTAACTTTTTGAGCAGCAGCCAAACAGTTTTCCACAGTAGCTGTACTATTTTACATTCCTCCCTGCAATGTCCTCATTTTTCCACATTCTTGCCAACACTTGTTATTATCTATCTTTTTTATTATACTTATCCTAGTGGGTATGAAGTATATCTCATTGTAGTAATTCACACTTTTTTGATGTCTGTATGATCATATTACTGAACTTAAAAAAGTTTATTTTGTGGCCGGGCGCGGTGGCTCAAGCCTATAATCCCAGCACTTTGGGAGGCCGAGACGGGTGGATCACGAGGTCAGGAGATCGAGACCATCCTGGCTAACACGGTGAAACCCCGTCTCTACTAAAAAATACAAAAAACTAGCCGGGCGAGATGGCGGGCGCCTGTAGTCCCAGCTACTCGGAGGCTGAGGCAGGAGAATGGTCTAAACCCGGGAGGCAGAGCTTGCAGTGAGCTGAGATCCGGCCACTGCACCCCAGCCTGGGCGACAGAGCAAGACTCTGTCTCAAAAAAAAAAAAAAAAAAAAAAAAAAGTTTATTTTGTGTGTGTGCGTGTGTAAAGTTCCAGTGAGGCTGTGGTGATGATGGGGTCAGTGGGTGAAATCAGCTTCCTGTGACAAACATTTCTTAGCTTTAAGTGACCAGTTTTCTACAACAAGCAGTTTGTTCTCAGTTACAAATCAGCCCTTGGAACTACTGAACTATGTATATGTTGTAGGAATTGGGAACATTTTTTAAAGAGATCAAAGAATCAGCATGTGCCTGAATGTCTTAATTTACCTAGAAAAGTATTTTGATCTAGTTTATTAATATTGTCCTTTTTTTTTCTGATTATTCCAGAGGCAGCAGTTGGGGACAGCTGTAGAATTGGAAATGGCCAAGATGCTTGAGGAAAATACAAATATCCTTAAATTTGGATATCAGTTTACACAGCAGGGACCACGAACCAGGGCAGCTAATGCTATAACAAAAAACAATGACTTAGGTAAGGCATAGACAGTATCGATCGAGTTTCTGGGTTCTATCATAAGCTAATGTATTGAGGGAACTTCTTTTCCTCTTAAGAATAAATTCTAACAAAGAAGTTATTTGGCCTTTGTTTCTAAAATCTACATGGTCCTTTTTATACCGATTGAATTCTAGTTCAATTAAAGTGAGGGTGTTGTGATGATTGGGTCAATGGGTAAAGTCAGCTTCCTGTGACAAGCATATTTCGTAGTTGTAAGTAACCAGTTTTCTACAACAAACAATTTGTTCTCAGTTACAAATCAGTCCTTGGAACTATTGAAACAAAGATTTCAACATTAAAGGAAAGTTTTTTGCCCTTTTAATCAAATAGACCCGGTAGAAATTCAGTTTTATATGATAGAATATGGAATATAGAAATATATAAAATAGAGAATAATTATATTTCTCACCCAGGTTTTTTGTCGTTGTTGTTGTGAGACAGAGCCTCACTCTGTTGCCAGGCTGGAGTGCAGTGGTGCCATCTCGGCTCACTGCAACCTCTGCCTCTGGGGTTCAAGCGGTTCTCCTCCCTCAGCCTCCCAAGTAGCTGAGACTACAGGTGTGCACCACCATGCCCAGCTAATTTTTGGGTGGTTTTTTTTGTTTGTTGGTTTTTTTTGGTTTTTTTTTTGAGACAGAATCTTGCTCAGTTGCTCAGGCTGGAGTGCAGTGGCATGATCTCGGCTCACTGCAAGCTCCACCTCCCGGGTTCATGCCATTCTCCTGCCTTAGCCTCCCAAGTAGCTGGGACTACAGGCGCCTGCCACCACGCCCAGCTCATTTTTTTTTTGTATTTTTGGTAGAGACGGGGTTTCATCATGTTAGCCAGGATGGTCTCGATCTCCTGACCTTGTGATTCACCCACCTCGGCCTCCCAAAGTGCTGGAATTACAGGTGTGAGCCACTATGCCCAGCCAGTTTTTGTATTTTTAGTAGAGATGGGGTTTCACTGTGTTGGCCAGGATGGTCTCGATCTCTTGACCTCACCATCCGCCCACCTTGGCCTCCCAAAGTGCTGGGATTACAGGCGTGAGCCACCGCACCTGGGCCCTCACCCAGGTTTTACAGTCCGGTGTGTAGGTGTTTGCTCATCTTTCTAACAGGACTGTTGTGGAACTCTCTTCTCACTGCATACATCTAGGTCAGTAATCTCTCATTCTCCTGTGGTTCCTATTTAATTGCTTGAGGCTTGTGGCTTCTGTTTGAAATAGACTTTCCAGCCAAGGCTGAATTAAAGAATATGGTGCTTAGAATTTTATTTCTACATGTTTCCAAAAGTTGATTCTTTTAAACTAGGATGTTTGCCATTGAAGTATTTTTAAAGATGCCTTTTAGAAAAGAAGTAAAACAAGACTTCTCAAAAGGAGTGACATTTCAAAGTGTTGCCATTCTCTTAAGCTTCAGCCATATTTGAGTTTGCATTCTGTAAAAGTTTCTGGAGCAGGAAAAAAATAGCACTTCATTTCTTTATTCCAGATCACTGTGGAAAATATTAGCTCAAACTCTTTCTGTCCTTTGTATCACTATGGTTTCCCAGAGGAGATGTTAGCTGCTTGCTTTTGAAAATAGAAAATTGGTGTGTTTTGGTGTATTGTTGATTCCAAATGTAGTTTGCAAAGTCATGCTAATTGTTTTAGTATTGGTTCAGTAGTTAGCTTCTATTTTTTCCTTCAGGCATTTAATTTTGCTTCTTAGAGCAATGTTTTAAGAGAACTTCATAAAGTTCTAGCTGGACTTCATAAATAATTGGAGAGGTTTAAAAACACATACATTATTGGCTTAAAATGACTTTCTTCACCCCAAAAAGTTGGTTGACCAGGGCCTCACGACCATCACATAACCCTACTTTGATGGATAGTGAAGCCAAGTGCTCTGTTGAATGTTTACTATGTTCTCATTAGTGCACTACACAGCCACGAGGTACTGATACTGTTGTTCTCCTGTTATGCAGGATAAGTTGAGGCTCAGAGAAGTTAACTGACTTGCCAAAAAACACACTACAGAAAAGTGACAGAGCGAATTTCCTTAGAGGTTCTGATTTAGTCTATGATGAGATTTGGGTTGAAGTCATTTCACACTCAGAAACCCTGGCTTGTTTCTCCAGTGTTGAGTGGATATTTGAGTTTCTGAGTTCATCATTGTTATACATCTTAAGCAGGTGTGCCCCGTATGTCTTCTACTTAACACAGCATTTGTCCTATTTTTTAAATTGCCTTTTACTCAGAAAATTAATTATATGTAATAGTCTTATTTCCAAATACTATATGCTTTTTGAGGGCAGGGACTATGTTGTTGGCAGGGCCATGTCCAACTATTGAATCCCAACTCTCTTAAAACCATGCCTGACACACAATAGGTACTTAAGAAAACTGGATTAAGTGAATAAATAAGTGGTAGAATTTGAACTCTCTCAAAGTTACAATTTTCTGGTACCTAAATGGCCATAAACTAAGCCAGAAGTATCCTCCATTTTTCCTCTCCTTGGAAACTAACTTAACAAGCCCCAACCAGCTGTTACTTACCTCCCTCCAGGAGGCAGGTGATTCCAGCAACTGACCCTCCGGGGGCAGTACAGTGAATGCCCATAAATGTCATGGCAGGGGTGCTGACCTTTGCAAGGCTTCAGCAGTTGTGTTTTTTTGTGAAGCCTGTTTTGGTAGGCACTTTGCCTGCATTTCTGTAAGAAAAGAAATGTCCAGTGTTAGATTGAGGGAGATTTGGGCAAATGCTAGATGGGGGGGGGCAAATGAAAACCACTTCCTAGACTGCTTTATGTTGGCACTGAGCAATTGAATAGCTGTGCACAGTGGGGTGTTATAGAGGAATTGAAGGCCATGTTGAAGAAGCTGTGTTCTGACCCAAAGCAGAATTGAGAGAAAGCAAGCAGCTTTGTGCTGGGAACTCTGTAGACTCCCACTTACACTGTTTCATTCTGATCCAAACTACATTTTCAGACGTGGGTCTCAGGCATGAAATGACAATAAACACATTCCTGGACAGGGCAATTATAGATAAAAGTTCAAATTTGAGAGCAAGCAAGTTATTTATGTGCTGATGACAGCCTGTGGATTTTAAGAACTGACTATCATGAGGCTGGCTCCAGAATAAACTTTCAATAAGTACTTGTTGTTTAAAGCTAGTATTTACAAAGTGATACCAGCAGATCAAGGCTGGGTGCGGTGGCTCACGCCTGTAATCCAAGCACTTTGAGAGACCCAGATGGGTAGATCACCTGAGGTCAGGAGTTTGAGACCACCCTGGCCAATGTGGTGAAACTAAAAATAAAAAATTAGCCAGGTGTGGTGGCAGGTGCCTGTAATCCTAGCTACTGAGGGGGCTGAGGCATGAGAATTGCTTGAACCCAGGAGGCAGAGGTTGCAGTGAGCCGAGATTGCACCACTGCACTCCAGCCTGGACGACAGGGTGAGACTTTTGTCTTAAAAAAAAAAAAAAAGGTGATATCAGCAGATTTAAGAGGCAGTGTTGGTAGAATACACTAAAATTACATGGTTAAAGAACTTGGATTTATTTGGATTTTATGCAGGAAGCGTTTGAGAGCCATTAGAGAACACTGAATACATGATTAAGATACTTAAAAAAAAAAAAACTGCCCTTATTGCTTTTAGAGTTAGAAAATGAGGTTAGTTAGGACATTTGCAATTAACTAATGATGACATATTGACAACTTTTATCAGTGGAGTGTGTTTTGGAAAGAAATTGGACCAGATCCAAAAAATTGTTAACAGGGCAACATTTATAAGCCTGCCATCTAGAGGATGAGCTGAGGAATTGCTGGAAGGTAACAGGTGAGCACCAGGTGAGAAAGAGGAGGCAGAAATGGCCCGTTGCCCCACTGTCCTCTGTTGTACACACAGTGGCAGCAGTTTCTCATTCTCCCGCTCAGCTTAACTTTTTTTCAGCTGTATACTCTGACCTCTGCCTAGAAGATAAAGATGGAAAGTCTGAAGACCATGTTTTCTGACATACTGGTCTCAGCAGCCTGATATGTGCTAACACAAAAGAGATAATCAAAGAACAATACTTGAAACTTGTGCAGAATCTCCTGGGCATATAGTTCTTTTTCACCTTGTAGAGGGGGCTTTATCAGATCTTTGAGTTCTGATTTTGGTAACATCGTTCCCTCTCATTGTTTTCTTAGTCTCAGCTATTCATTGAAATAATTCTACCTACTCTCCATCTCTCCAGCTAAGAAGTGTCACAGCTGTAACAGCAAAGAGGTTCTATGGTATACATGCAATATTCTATTTACCTTTGAGTCTCACATTACTATCTTTGCACTAGCTAACTACATATTCCATTTTGTAGACCTTTTTTGTTTGCTGCACTCTGTCCTTTTTTATAGCATGCATTTTAGCATCTGAAGTGGTATGCCAATAACATCCAAACCCTGCTGCAATTCAAAATTTTCTTTGAAATGTTCTACCCTAAAGAATTATCTGAAGTTTGCCTTTCAGACATTTCTATATTTTTCAGAGATCTATATACATGATTTGATATTTGAGAGCTCAAGTCTCCATTTAATTTTTTTTTAATACTTCAGTGAACACATGAAACTTGTCCTTGTTAGCATGGATTAAAATTAGAGTCAGTTGCTTGCTTTGACAGCACATACACTAAAATTGGAATGATACAGAGAAGATGAGCATGGCCCCTTGCAAGGATGACACACACATTCATGAAGCAATCCCTATTTTTATTGAGTTCTGGCAAAAAATAAATTAAAATAAACTTAGAGTCAGGCAAACTTAATTAGATAAGTATAAAAATGTTTGTGGGAACCTGATACTTTAGTCCTTCTGGTTTTATTTTCAAGCGAGCACCCAGCCTATGGCTGAACAAGATTTTACATACGTCATCTGAACGTGTGGTCTTATCTATTAAAGGCTGACAAACAGAAGTCAGCAGTCAGAGTAGCACAAGAGTGGAGTGTCTATGGCCTGGCCAGGACACCAGGTACACCTGTTGGCTTCTAGTTCCTCTGTCAAACAGCCAATTTAGGCCAAAATACATACTACAGAAGTGACAGAGCCATGATTCACTCTATTTGTCACCAACTCTGGAACCTGTGGTTTTTGTCCACTCTAGGAGCTGGCCACAGTGCTGAGAGTCCTGAATTGGTGGCAGTGAATGCTGTCTAGTGGCTGATAGGTGAGAGTGCAGGTAGCAAGATTTGAAGTTGAAGACCTTATTCTGCTACTAGAGAACACCCCTGAGTAGTTTGGCATCACCAGTCCAGGAAGAGGCTGGTAGTCTCAGATACATACATGTACCGTTCTTTGCTGCATAAGCTGAGTGAGTTGGCCACTTAGGCAGCCAAAGTTTATGGTAGTCAGAAGTGACCGCGCCATATTACCAGGGTCTGAGATTTTCATTACTTTGCATTTGTTGTTTTATCAGACCCTGAACTGGTTTATTTTACAGGAAGCAAGAGAAGGAAAATTCAGAAAGCAGTAGCAAATCACTTACGTATAAAAATGACAAAAATGTTTTTGGTATATTCTTTTACAGCCTAAGGAAATACATTGTAGTGTCTAATCAGGAGAGCATGCAAATAGCTACTTTTAATATGTTCTAACCCCAGCTGCCCGAATGTCACTTCAAAATTTAACACACTAATTTACTAGCTGTTTTTTTAAACCTGAGTATGTACTTTTTCAATAAACAAATGACTTGGGCTAGGCGCAGTGGCTCACACCTGTAATCCCAGCACTTTGGGATGCTGAGGCGGGCAGATACTTGAACCCAGGAGTCCGAGACCAGCCTGGGCAAAATAGTGAGACCTAATCTCTATTTTATTAATAAAATAAATTACAAAGTTAAAAATAAAAACAAATGACTTGTAGATGATTGCTGACCATTTAGATTTCTAGTGCTGCTGCTATGTAAGCACAGCTATGAGTCATTGACCTTAGGGCATGTAGTTCTTGTTTTGAAGCCCCTCGGTTCTCAACAAGTAAATGACAGTGGTGAATGATGGGAAGTAGGTTTGGTTTTTGTTTTTGTTTTTTTTAATTAATGGTCATGTGAACTGGAAATGGACGTTTCAATTTTGTAGAACTTATAACTTACGCAGAAACTTGCTTGTTATAAGCAAGTTACCATTGTAAAAACTAATAGGGATTTCTAACATAGTTTCTTTTATTTTTCTCATAGTGCGCAAGAGACGAGTTGAAGGAGATCACCAGTAAGTCTGCCAAGGTGTAATCTTTGGAAGACTTCAGAAGATCACCAAAGGTTCATGTTGGTGACACCAGATGTAAAATTTTCCTGGGTAGAAGGGAAAAGACTGGAAAAATTTTTTTAGTGATATGCATTTTTTTTTTTTTTATAGTTTAAGTTGTTATCAGTTTCAAATTGTAAAATCAGTAATGTGATATTTTATATTCTGAAACATTTCTACTTTCTGCTGAAATCAATTTTAATTTAGTTTAATCAAATGATTTATGATGACTCTTGAGCAAAAAAATACAATTGTAAAAAATTTCACAGGTCATTTGTGTAGAATAATTTGAACATTGTGAGGACCAATCTTTTTTAAATCAAAAGGGATATTGCTGGTATCAGAATTGTTATTGCTTCATTTAGACATAAAACACTTCAGTATTTTCTTCACTCCATGACCTGGAGACTTTTCTAAATTTTTAAAAAATTTTTAAAATACATGAACTTTGCAAGGGTGTGATTTTTCTCTATGAAGAGAACAAAATGCCAGAATTTTAAAACAGTTGACTCAAAATCTGGTCATCTGTGTTGGAGCTAAAGCAGGTCTCCAGGGAGAGAGGCGGTCATCTGTGCATTCCAGGTTACTGCACTTGTCTGATGAGACACAGCAACACCCAGGTTTTCCTAAAACAAAGTCATCAGCTTTGCTAGGTTACATACTTTGTTTAAAAGTATAGTGAGGTCTAAGTTCATTCCAGTGTTTCATTTTAATAAAGTGAGCATTATTAAATTTTTGTGAAAGCTAATAGTAAAAAATAAAAGCTGTTTTCACCGCCCCCCCCCCAAAAAAAAGGTATACAGCCAACTCTTAATTATTTAGGGTAAGAGAAAAAAGAAAACTGTTAAACAATGAAATCAAAGAGAATAAATATGATAGAGTTCCAGTATGAGGCACTTGCAAAACAGTTGTTTAAACTGATGGTTACTGTAAGTCAGCTGGAAGCTAGCATGTATGTAAATTACTTGGTGTTACACAGTATCAAGAAGTTCCTATTTGCAGTGCAGAATTGCATACAGTATTTAATCACTGCTACAGATCTTCCAGCCAAGAAGGAAAACTGCTATTCTTCATAAATCTAATTTTTAGTATATGCTTCCTTTCATCTTATACTTTTGTCCATATTTATAAAAGTCATTTCTATAATAAAAGCAGTCTTTCTTGCTCAAAGTATTAAAGTGAACAATTGAACTAGAGTACTGTGATTGGGAGACTGATTTGAGACTGCAGAGCTGATGCTGGTGGGAAGAGGATCTGGACTTGTGTTCATGTTCTGTCTCAGGGCAGCCCCTGGAGCAGGAGATGGCAGAGGCATTTACAGCTGCAGAAAACAGGGAGGAATGGAATCTGAGGTAACCCTGGCCTCAAAATTCAGGCCTGGCTGTATCATTTACAGAGATGTTTCTGAAGGGAAAAAATCTCATTTCTGAGGGAGGCAAGGTAGCTAATCATTATTAATTTTTTTTTAACTTTTTGGGCTGGGCACAGTGGCTCATGCCTGGAATCCCAGCACTTTGGGAAGCCAAAGTGGGTGGATCACTTAAGGTCAAGAGTTCGAGACCAGCCTGGCCAACATGGTGAAACCCTGTCCTACTAAAAATCAAAAAATTAGCTGGGTGTGGTGGTGCACACCTGTAATCCCAGCTACTCGGGAGGCTGAGGCAGGAGAATCACTTGAACCTGGGAGATAGAGGTTGGAGTGAGCCGAGATCGTACCACTGCACTGCTGTCTGGGCGACAGAACAAGACTCTGTCTCAAAAAAAAAAAACCCAAAAACAAAAATACTTTTTGAAATTGAATTGCAATACGTCTGCTACTTTGGCTTGGGCTGGACAGTTTATCTAACAAGCAAGGCAGCTTCTTGTGTGCTCTGCTAATAAGCCTTCTTAATAGACTAAGCTTCCCTCATAAGAACTGTGGTATGTGTCTTCGGTTTCTTTTTTTGGTTTTGTCTTGTTTTGTTTTGTTATATCAGTATCCAGTGTTTTATAGGGGCCAAAGATTAACTTGCACTATTCCCTGTCAGTTAAAGGCCACTGATATTTTTCTAAGTTAGCAAGGCTCACCTGCTTGCTTTGTTGCCTCCCTTCCTCCATCCCTCTCCCTTCCAACTTTCTCTGTTTCCCTATTTCTCTCCCTCCCTCTCTTCTTCACCCCTCTTCCCCTCCCCACGCCCATATGCAGCTTTTTGATTGTATTTGGTTTTGTAGAGACTGCACAGTTCCAGCAAGATTGAGAGTCAGGCATGGAGCAGGCATCTCAGGCTACCAGAAAGAATTGGTCACCTAGACTTTCAGTCAGGCATCCTCGTTTGCATTGTTCTGTAAGTCAATCAGTTGATAACTAGTACCCCCTTCATCCCTTAAGTTTTTTGTTTTTTTTTTTTAATATAGGTAAGTGGGACTCTACCTATAATTTTGCCTCATACCTATGGGTAATATCTTTTTCCTTTATTGTTTATCGAAGCATGAAGTTGAGTATTTTGCTTGTACCATTTCAATTCTGCATTATAATAGTTCATTGTATAACTGAAAGAAAGGATTTCTTCATAAGTAACATTAAATATGAACATTCATCCAATTGAATATAGAAAATCTTTCCAAAAGTATAAGGGAGAAAAATCGTGTTTACTTCAATCTTTAAAAATCTGGCACCTCTTAGTAACTTTCAGTATTTCTAAATTGCTCTAAAATTTTGTAATAAATAGATTAGGGTTTTGCAGTAATCTTAATTTTTAAGCCAAAGGTTTTCTGAGACCTTAGGTTTTGTAGTCTAACCAGCTTATCTGGTTCTGTAAAAGAATATTCTTTGTGTTTTTAAATTGCTATTTTTAAAAAAGCTTTTTATTACCCATTTTATAAAATGTTATACTCATATTTGTCTGAATTTTCCCAATATTCCTACATGAAATTGTATGTATTAAAAACTCAATATTAGTGGCAAATATTAATACTATTAAAATGGATTTTGGTGCTATATTCTTATAGCTAAAGCCTAGTAGAAGTCTCAAGAATAGGTGAAATACACTTTCAAAGGTTGCTTGTCATTAAAAGACCAAATAAGCATTTTTGTATTAAATAAATTAGCAGATGGTTAGAGACTTCGAGGAGCGTTAGTTTGGTCATTTAATTGCGACTTCATGTTATTTGAATGAAATAACCCACATCCTTGCTTTGTATAAGAGATGCACTCTGGAGAAGTTACATGTAAATAGACCTTTATAAATTGTTTTCCAGTTGACCAAGTATCTGTTGTGTTTTCATTTAAAAAGAGGATTCCATGACATAATAAGAATTATTTTTAAAAATGTTTGGGGCTGGGCGCGGTGGCTCATGCCTGTAATCCTAGACTTTGGGAGGCCGAGGCGGGCGGATCACCTGAGGTCGGGAGTTCGAGACCAGCTTGACCAACATGGAGAAACCCTGTCTCTACTAAAAATGCAAAATTAGCCAGGCGTGGTGGCACACGCCTGTTATCTCAGCTACTCGGGAGGCTGAGGCAGGAGAATTCCTTGAACCTGGGAGGCGGAGGTTGTGGTGAGCCAAGGTCACACCATTGCACTCCAGCCTGGGCAACAGGAGTGAAACTCCATCTCAAAAAAAAAAAAAAAGTTTTGATAAAATGTTACTCATATCATGTTGTACATTATATCTAACTTTTGCTGTCTTTAAAATAAGATGACAGCCTTTATGGAGTTTTATAAAATCTTATTTAGGGTCTGTGTTCCCAGGGTTGCCTCACTTTTTCCCTATAAAACCAGGAACCGTTGTTTACCTCTCAGCAGATGCAAGGATCATGCTTTCTCTGGAGTCCTTAGTCACTTCCATTCTTTGCAAGTTTAGTACTGCCCAACTTCACTCATTCTACAGTGCTACTGCACTTCGAATGTATTGACCCATGGCACCCAAGAGAAGCAAACATATGGATGCACTAGAGACAACTCGGGTTGCTGCTCTCCGTTAAGGGCCGTGAGTTCTTGGGGTCTAAGTATCTGTAAAATTACCCTTTCCTTCACTGATGATTAATGTTTCTGGATATTTCTTGCCCTAAGACTTGCTTACCAACAAAGCAAAGAAACTCTTCACTCATTATTTTTAAATTGAGAAAATAGTATTCAGAGGCAAAGACTTCTATATTCTTTTTTGAGACTGAGTCTCACTCTGTTGCCCAGGCTGGAGTGCAGTGGTGCAATCTCAGCTCACTGCAACTTCCACCTCCCAGGTACAAGTGATTCTCCTGCCTCAGCCTCCCAAGTAGCTGGGATTACAGGCGTCCGTCACCACGCCTGGATAATTTTTTGTATTTTTAGTAGAGATGGGGTTTCACCATGTTGGTGGGGCTGGTCTCAAACTGACCTCAGGTTATCCGCCCACCTCAGCCTCCCAAAGTGCTGGGATTACAGGCTTGAGCCACCACACCCAGACTTACTCTTTTTTTTTTTTTTTTTTTTTTTTGAGACAGAGTCTTGCTCTGTCGCCCAGGCTGGAATGCAGCGGCCGAATCTCAGCCCACTGGAAGCTCCGCCTCCGGGTTCACGCCATTCTCCTGCCTCAGCCTCCCGAGTAGCTGGGACTACAGGCACCCCCCCCACCACGCCCGGCTAGTTTTTTGTATTTTTTAGTAGAGACGGGGTTTCACCGTGTTAGCCAGGATGGTCTACGATCTCCTGACCTCGTGATCCACCCGTCTTGGCCTCCCAAAGTGCTGGGATTACAGGCTTGAGCCACTGTGCCCAGCCTTTATGCTTATATTTTAATTTGGTCATTCTTTCTTAGATCTACAGATTGAACATCCCTAATTGAAAACTTTTTGAGTACTAACATAGTGCTCAAAGGAAATGCTTATTGGGGCATTTAGAATTTCAGATTTTCAGATTAGGGATGCTGAACTTGTGTAATGCCCTGTATTACAAAATCCAAAATAATTTGAAATCTGAAACACTTATGGTCCCAGCATTTTGGATAAGGGATACTCAACCTGTATTGATTTTTCTCCACTATAATTCAGTTCTATAAGTTCTTCCCTATAAAAAATGAATGAATTAGAAATTTTATAATAAAACATAATATATTTTATTAATTTTAAGCCCTGTCTTGCAGTCTGATTGTTCAGAAAGGTCAACCTAGAAAAAAGACATGGCTAAGTAAACTATTGTAAGCCATAACTAAGTATTTTGGAAAGCCTTCATTAACACATGAAGAATTTTGGCCAAGCACTGTCTTATGCCTGTAATCCTAGCACTTTGGAAAGCCGAGGCCGACGGATCACTTGAGCTCAGGAGTTTGAGACCAACCTGGGTAACATGGCAAAACCCCATCTCTACAAAAAGTACAAAAATTATCTGGGTGTGGTGGTGCATGCCTGTAGTCACATCTACTTAGAAGACTGAGGCGGCAGAAGTGCTTGAGCCTGGGAGGTGGAGGTTGCAATAAGATGAGATCATGCCGCTGCACTCCAGCCTGGGCAATGGGAGTGAAACTCTATCTCAAGGGAAAAAAAAAAAAAAAAAAGAGCTGTACTCCTAGTACTTTGGGAGACCAAGCAGGGAGGATTACTTGAGCCCAGGAGTTTGAGACCATCCTGGATAACATAGCAAGACCCCATCTTTACAAAAAATTTAAAAATTAGCCAGACACCTGTACTGCCAGCTACTTAGGAGTCTAAAGTGGGAGAACTGCTTGAGCCTGGGAGGTTGAAGCTGCAGTGAGCTTTGATCATGTGACGGCATTCCAGCCTGGGTAATAGAGTGAGACTCTGTCTCCAAAAAAAAAAAAAAAACCCAGCAGTTTTTTTGTTGTTGTTTTTGTCTTTCACTTAGGATACCTGCTCTAAAGGCTAGATAAAAATAGATTGTAATGGCCGGGTGCAGTCGCTCACACCTGTAATCCCAGCACTTTGGAGGCCGAGGTGGGAAGATCACTTGAGGTCAGGAGTTCAAGACCAGCCTGGCCAACATGGCGAAACCCCATCTCTACTAAAAATACAAAAAATTAGTTCGGCATGGTGGTGTGCATCTGTAATTCCAGCTACTAGGGAGCCTGAGGCAGAAGAATCACTTGAACCTGGGAGGTGGAGGTTGCAGTGAGCCGAGATTGCACCATTGCACTCCAGCCTGGGTGACAGAGTGAGACTCCATCTCCAAAAAATATATGTATTAAGAAACACCACCAGCAGTGTTTTGTTAATATAGCTGTAACAAGTTATTACATTCTTTTTTTTTTTTTTAAGATGGAGTTTTACTCTTGTCGCCCAGGTTGGAGTGCAGTGGTGCAATCTCGGATCACTGCAACCTCCGCTTCCTTGGTTCAAGCGATTCTCCTGCCTCAGCCTCCTGGGTAGCTGGGACTACAGGCACCCACCACCATGCCTAGCTAACTTTTGTATTTTCAGTAGAGATGGAGTTTCACCATCGTGGCCAGGCTGGTCTCGAACTCCTGACCTCTTAATCCACCCACCTCAGCCTCCCAAAGTGCTGGCATTACAGGTGTGAGCCACCGTGCCCAGCCCAAGTTATTACATTCTTAAGACAATCAGACACCTCTTAGAGTCTACATATATGAAGTTTTACTCCCTTTTCTACACTCAGTATGTCTTAATTGATGCAAAGCAATTAATTGGCCTAAAATGTTTCAAATATTATAGTCTATACATTCAGAGAGTAAGGTTTAAGAATGAATTATTGGTGCTTCTTGATGGGTGTATATAGCAGTTTTTAGAAGTTTAAATTTCACCTGTACTCAGAAAGATAAGCTTTTGATTCAGTGGTTTCAAATTTTTAGATCAATCCATTTAAGAATTGTTTTTTCAAATGTATATACACGTATAACATAAAAATTTTTGTAATTTCAAATGTTTTTTTTTTCAGTTTTTTGGATGAATTATTATATTTGGTTTTAGTTACATTTAAAAGCTTGAAAATTACCTTTGTAACAATCATTTGAGTATCATTCATTGTCAAATGAAATCAGGTATTTACATTTTTTTCTAATGCTAAAATATCCAACATTGTAATTGCCTTATTTTTCCATTTTTATAAGTATAAAAGCAATGAATTTTAACACTGATATTTAAGTAATACAAAATATTATCCAAATTCATAACAGCACAGTGAAGTTTCTTTTGAAGACTGTACTAGAAGCATTTAGAACTTAACCAATATATACTGGGATAAATCGTTTCAATAAAGTTTATCAAATATTCTGTAAACTTGGACTTTTTGAAAAAGCATGTAATCCCTTTCATTCCTAAGTTCTAAAATTCATTCCTTACATCCTTCTTCAAGAACAAGTTTATCAATTTCCCTGAGTTATTCAGTCCTACCTGTTATGGACTGAATATTTGTATCCACACCTGCCCCCCACCCCAAATTCACATGTTGAAGCCCTAACCCCCAATGTGATGATATTTGGAGATGGGGCCTTTAGAAGGTAATTAAGGCTAGATAGGGTCACAAGGTTGGTCCCCTTATGATGGCATTTGTGTTCTTATACAAAGAGACAGGAGACTCTTTCCATCACGTGAAGATACAGCAAAACAGCAGCTGCCTGCAAGCCAGGAAGGGAACCCTCATCAGGAACCAAACCATGATCTCGGACTTCCCAGCCTCTAGGAACGTGAGCAATAAATTTCTGTTATTTAAGCCACTCAGTCTATGAATCATGTAAAATTAGTTATAATAGTTGAACACTTTTACTCATAAAAATAGTAATTTCATAAGGTTCAACCTAATATCATCAGTACTAGGCCCTGTCTGTTCATAAAATTGAATTGAGTTGACAAATATGAAAGAGCAGGGTCGGACAAGTGCAGTGGCTCACGCCTGTAATCCCAGCACTTTGGGAGGCCGAGGCAGGCGGATCACCTGAGGTGAGGAGTTCAAGACCAGCCTGGCCAACATAGTGAAACCCCATCTCTACTAAAAATACAAAAATTAGCCAGGCATGGTGGCACATGCCTGTAGTCCCAGCTACTCAAGAGGTTGAGGCAGGAGAATAGCTTGAACCCAGGAGGTGAAGGTTGCAGTGAGCCAAAATCGCACCACTGCACTCCAGTCTGCGTGACAGAGCAAGACTCCGTCTCAAAAAAAAAAAAAAAAAAAAAAAAAAGGCTGGGCATAGAGGCTCACGCCTGTAATCCCAACACTTTGGGAGGCCAAGGCGGGCTGATCACCTGAGGTCAGGAGTTCAAGACCGGCCTGGCCAACATGGCAAAACCCCCTCTCTACTAAAAATACAAAAATC